AGATCTACTTTCAGGTCTGTCAAACAAGATGTGACTGCTGTGATCGCCTCGTCTAATCTCATACATATCATGGGTCATCAGACTATAAAACCTAACTTCTAGTGAAACAGCTGCTTCACCTGTGGCAGAGAAGCCAATACACCTCTGCCTCAAAGGTTCAGGAGCAACTTCAGTAATGGAGTATTGTTTCTGTAACACTGTAACTACCTCATTAGACTCAACGTAGCAGTGATACTGCACACAATCAATTGGTACAATGCAGAAAAGGGATGGAAAATTAGAAGTTGACATCGATTTATATAAAAATACAGAAAACACACTGACCTAGATGTTAGAAATTACATAGGCTTTCAAATTTCATTCTCCAATACTGACTCTCAGCTATGCAGTAGTTGAGCAATGGTATGTAGAGAGTAGCCATAATGCTTTTTATGGCTTCCCTAGTCTTGCCAAGAAGCCCTTTCTCTTCAGAATATCAAAGACTGAGCAGGTATCCAAATAAGGAGGTATGCACAGTTCAGTGGCATACCAAGCCCCCCTTCCTTGGGCCAGCATGTTTCATCCTAACTCCATGAGAAATAGGTAAGCTGAAATCCTGCCCTATGTCCCTCATTCTGCATTTAATGCACAGAGGTGGAGGTTAAACAACGGAACAGACCTATGTGGGGTGAACTTGCATTTGCCTCATTTCTCAAACTCTCTTTTCCAACATACAGTCCCATCTAACAGGGAATGCAAAGCTGCTTTCTAGCTCCCTGGAAAGCAACAGAATTACAAAAAAAGTTAAAAATTTCCACTCTTAACTCCACAATTTCTTCATGGCAGGGTCTCAGCTGCCTGAAATCAGCAAGAGCTCCTTTTTAACAAGTCGAGCCACTTACACACTCCTCCCAGCATTACGTGACAGCTTATAATAACATATTTTAAATTCCTAATGCAGTGGGTACCAGACAGGAACAGGAAATGTTAATAATTATCCCAATTTCCAATCACTTTAACTGAATTTTCACAGTAGCACGTTCACAAATTTCCTCCCTACACATGACTAAAAGGGGAAGAGTGAAACTCTCTTTGGCAAAAGTCAAAGCAGCTATGAAGCCCTGCAGAGCAGCCAAGGAAAAGAGCAATGAGCTGCTGTGCATGGTGTGTCCTGATCTCACACCTCATGCACAGAGTCAGAGCACACAGCACAGGCAACTACTATATGTGGAGTTCATTAGGATTACTATTTGCAGTACTTGCTCACAACAGGCATGAAACTCCCAGGAAATTATAGAGAAACTGAAGCCTTAACAAATGGAAATAACCAGTACACAAACAGAAAGGGCTGGTCCTGGCAAGGGTTTGGAGGACCATTTCACTCATTAAAAATGTACTGCCTTCAAGTGAGTGCGGGTCATCAGCACACCAGCAACTTCTGTTTTGCTTTTTAGGATGTGGGTATGCCCACTGGCACATGACTACAGTTCTGTACTTTCACAGAGTACAACACGTTTCTATGGTGCAGAAAAGACAAGGAGCAAATACAGCTCCAGAAAATCTAAAGACCATTTCCTCTCTTTCTCCCTCCATAATTCCCTCTTTACTGAAGACATGGGTAACACAAACACGCAGTGCATATGCTAAAAGCAAAGGGAATGTGTCATTCAGCACAGCTGGATCGAGTGGTCATACTTAAACACCTTCCAACTGCATAAGAAAAGGACACACTGCAGCAACCCAAGGACACCAGACTGTTGGTACCTTTACACAGTTTTCCTCTACCCTCTGAGGACTGATGTTGCATTACACAGGAGCCTGCCAACTGTTAGGGGACACTACCATGTTATCCCACACAAAAGCAGGAAGGATTAAAGAACAGGCAATGACAATTAATAACATCTATCTCTTCCGTTCTTTCACATTTTTCATGCTCTAAATCTTTGTTCAGTTTTCCTTAAGTTTCCCCATCTTTCTCTATTTCTTTGTGCTCATTTTCCGCCGTTATTTTAATTTCTGGTTTGGCCTTACAATTTATTTTTCTTTGTTCTTTTTTCCCCACCTTCATAATTGTGCTATAATCCATATTTAAGATCCTAACAGCACAGAAGATGATTTTTAGAAGAACCCAGCACAGTAAGTGAGGTGCTTATAAAATCCAGATATGCACATCACAGCTGCAGCCACTGGATGCTGAGTGCATTCATCAACATGTCTGGGGCTTCAACAGAACTCCTATCCTCAGAAAATGTGGCCCTGAGGTGACAGTCTCCTTAGTATCACTGATATATCCCAATTTCCCACTCATGAAATTCCAGTGAACTCTATAGGAATAAAATGGAGGAGGTTGGGTTTTTTTTAAAAAAAGGCATAACAATTAAGAAAATAATAAAGGCAGGCTACAAAGGATGGCTTTTCTTGTTGACTGGAAATTAGGTTTGTGCAGTCCCCCTACTCAAAAAGAAACCTATTCAAATATGCCACAAATTAGAAGACAGCAAATGCATTCTGAGTATGGACTCGGGTGCCAAATTTTCACAAAGTCTGTTGTGGTAATAACAATAAAGACGAGAGAGGATTTTTTCTGTAACTGCTGCAATATTTTCTAAATACACTCAGCTGAATATAAAATGCAGTATTGTGCTCTTTTTTTTTTTACTAGCATATGGCAGTGAGAGCTTCAGACAAGTCACAGAGGGCTGCGGCTTGGAGGATTCAATGAGAAAGTTGCTTGAGATGTGTTCAGAATGATTTTATATTCTAGAAGCCAATATTCTTAATTTCCCAGCATGATTTTGTAAGAGTCATATAACTTCTTTTTTTCTTTTATGTTTATTATCCTCTAGATTCTGGAAATCTTTCTGTATGCTAAGAGCAAATTACCCTGAAGTGACAACTATAAAACCATGGCAGTCCCAGTATTGGTCCTATGCTAAGTATTTGTGCTCCCATAGCTTAAAAAAAATAATAATCAAGAACTGTATGAGTGCCTTAAGCTTCCTGCATGATTTGCAGGAGGAAGATTTCTTTAACAGGTTGTACGATTATGTCCGGTCTACACTATCTACCACTATGTATTATCAGAGCATGTAAATCTGACAGTCTGGTCAGATTCTACTTTCAAATCCCACAATTCAGATGCTTTATGGTGGATCATTTTAATGTAGAACTGCAAGACATAAAAAGCTGGACCTGTGTTTTCTGTAATCTTAGAGAGTCTTCTTCCCCTGTAATATCTGAACACAAACCTGGTTCTTGCTCTGTGCAGTAATCCCACAGGATTAAGTCATACTGTAAATACCAGACAAATTACAATCGGATTAGATGGGCAGTCTGTTCATTTACACAACACAGCTGCACTCCAGAGTCTTTTCACTGCTGGTGTCTATTTATAACATGAATGTTTTGTCCTTAAAGGAAATGAATGCAATTTCTATTTCATATCTCTTATCATTTGTGACCCATAAGGAGCACATTTCTAACTCCTAAGGAGCCAGCAGAATACTCCTCAAGAGGCCAAGCAGAAAGCTGTTCTTGGTACAGATCTGCAGGGCAAGATTTATTTTGAATTTATCAGTGAAAAGTCCCTTGGAAGGTCTGCATTCAATTTTAGTCAAGTGGAATAGAGAGAATATCTTTCTGGAGGTAGGTATGAAACAGCTGCAAATTTGATGAAATTTCCCAAGATTTGCCACATTCGCTTCAGGAATTTCTGTAAATTCCAAATTTAGTACTTCTGCCTACATTAGTGAGCAGAAAACAGTCCCATTTATGAAGCTCACAAGGTAGATCTGGTATAGCATGGGGTTTACAAGAGCTCTGCTCAGTTATATGAACTATGTTTAATAATGCTCAATATGTTTGCACTTTGCCGAAATCTCCCCCTACCACTTCACTGCAATTATTTATAAATGTCACATCATATCCCTCATAACTGTTCCCAATTATAAGAATCATCTTGCCTTTTAGGTATAAACTTGATTCCACCCAGCACACAAATCTGGCATTATTGCATTTGTATTATTGTAAAAGCCCCCACAAGCGTGCCCCAAAGTGATGTGACCACACTGCAATGAGCAATATAATAGAGCAGAACAAACACAACCAGAAAGGCAGTGCAGAATTCACTTCCATGCTGCAGCAATACAGTAGCCTGGAAACCAGAACAACTTCCTTTATCAGGTATAAACCAGTGTAGTTTATCACCTCATATTTAATATGTTACAGCTGCAAAATAGGTATAATATAGCACTTACACTAACGTAAGTTCAGCTGTTCTCCAAAGAGAGATTTTCCACTAGGCAGGTGTCAAGAATTCAAAGTCATATACTGATTTTACCAAAGTTGGAGACAAAGTGTCCTGAGCCCACTTTGCACTCTGACAAAAAGTGTTACACCTGGCTTCCACTGCAAGATTTGTCTTTGGCACCACCAAATGGGAAGGTTTTTGCAACAGAAATACTGCTGCCAGGTTCTGCTTTCACTCACACCTGTGACTCCTGCCGATTTCATTACGAGTTTCCACAGTTCACTAGCTCAGAAATAGGTGTACGTTGTGTAAACCTGAATGCATGTGGGACAATGGTTTTATGATACAGCATATGAAAAGTCAATATTGGCTTATGGATTTCCTGCACAACTTCCTGCCGTGCTTTTCTCTGAGTGTTTGTAATGTGTTATAGGTCGTGTTGCTTTTCAGATCAATTCAGAGTATGGCCTTCCCAAGGAGTCACTCTATCACAGCTGAAAGCAATACTCTGTGACATAGTATTGAAGGAGGCAGTGGGAAAGAGAGAATGGTTTAAGCTGGTACCTCTGGTTGCCATCATACACACTGTGATCACTGGCCAAGTTAAGGGCAATCAATGGATTTTTGCCAAAAAACAACTCCTGTTTGGTTATTTTGCTAGGAATTCAGACTTCCATGGTATTTAATTTTTGCAAGATTTTGATTCAGTAAAATATAGTAAAAGTGGTTATTATACAAGGAAGAAAAAGGAAACATTACATCAAGAACTTACTTTCTGCAGGTTCCTTAGATCTTCTGCCACTGGAGGATTTCCTCAGGAGACTTCGTCCTGAGGTAAAGAGGCTGGTTAGTTCCTCCAGAGGACTGGTGGGTGTCCGAGAACGGGAACTACTCTGAGATGATGACCCGTAGGTACTGACCGAGGCATTTACCATCTTTCCTCCTTCTTGCAATGTGTTTCTGGCTGTAGAATGAGGCACTGATGGAGAGCTTCTTGAGAGACTTCCTGAATGTACAGAGTCATAAGGTGGAGGTCTTTTGAGGCTTAAGGGGGTAAGAGATCTACCCATACTGACAGGAGAAGGTGAGGCAGAGTGACTTTTAGGATAACCATGTGGAGACTGTGTTCTGTATAAGGTAGAAGGATGAGGAGGTGAGGAGGTGTGCCCAGGTGTGCTAGTTCCATGAGATACTGTCTGGTCTTTCTCCAGTTTTTGATGGCCCGGTGTATGAGATGGCAGTGAAGATGGAGAAGCTCCAGCTTGTTGTTTGATGTAAGACACATTTTCTAAAACAGGAAGTTTTGTGACCTCTAGTGGAGTTAGAGGAGACTCGTCAGAATTTGGGGAACACTGCACTGGTGCTGGTGGGAACACCAGCAGTGGAGGTCTGTGAGAAAGCAGATTTGGAAATGGTGGGGGTATATCACAAAGCAAGCCCTTGGGAGTGGATGGCACTGAAGACTTGGTGAAATCTAGGTCAGGCACTGTGGGAGTAGCACACTGAGAAGAACAAGTGTGATGTTCATATTCACATTGACATTTTGAATCTTGGCCTACGTCATCAAATATAGGATATTTCATCTCCTCATAGACTGCTTCACTTTGGTCATCCTCGTCTTTTTTGAAGTCTCTGAGAATATTCCCAACCATTTCAATATAAACAGGCTCTTCTTCCTCAGTGTCTGGGGCAGGACTGCTGACCTGTGACAAAGAGGCATCCCTAGTAAGTGTCTTCATAGGGCCATGCTTTTTGATATACGTTTCATCAAAAGATGTGCTTAACTGAGTATTTGGATTTCGTTTCGGCTTGGGAGGTGGAATCTTCTTTGTGTATTCATCACTGTGAGGTCTTGGTTTGGCTGACACTGAAAAAAGAGCACAACACAAATTTTTCAGAAGTATGTAACACGCTTTGTCAACCACAGGATCTTTATTACAGTGTCATAATTCTACAGCAGATTTCATGGGACCAGCCTGTTGCCCCTTTCCTCTGGTATGATACCAACAGAACACTATAAAAATAACAGCCTTTTCAAAACACTCCTCATCTTCCCCCAGAGTGCTCTGATGCTCCAGTAGTAAGTAGCTAGTGAGCATTTCCCTTCTTCAGAGACATCTGTTCTCTTCCAAACTCTTTGAACAAGGGACTTTCCATGTTTAAATATTAGGCTTTTCAAACATCACTGTGGGATTTTGAAGTCCCATAGAGTTGCCAAAGACATAAAACTAAGTATTTAAATGAACTCCTTATGGCTGCAAGGGAACAGTTAAGATCCTGGACATTCATGCTGGAATCACACTGCAGTGACACAGTGATGAATCAAGACTTTTTTATTTATAGTAACTTCTAGCATAAAGCACAATTCTCTCAGTACTGGCTGAGAAGGAACACACATACAAATACTGCAGAATTTGCTGCTGGGGTAATTCTACTCATTTATCTGGACTCTATCCTACAAATTAATGAGACTTCAGTGAAGTCAAGGGGGAACATAGTATCTCACAGATTCAGATCCTTCCCAAGCAGGTTACTTCCAGAAACAATAGACCATTTTGTCTTTGAAATTATAAATCAAAACACTGTGATGAAATTCATTTGAAATGAGAGGTCAAAGGTTTCTTAGAAATTATGCCCTAATGAAAAATGCCTCGTTAAATGTCTGGGTGAAGTCAGTTTTTATCCTAAGCAGACTCAACAAACTCAGAAACAAAATTTACCACATACACTAAACCTAATTTATATTCTTATAGGGTAAATAGTCCTTGTGATGAAACCCCTGATACCTCATTGGTAAGTTTTCCAATTTAAAAAAATAATCCATAACTAGAATGCCAGCTTTCCTGTCTTCCAAAACATTGCTGCTCCTTGCCACGCACTGCTACAGATCTGTCACTGCAAACTCAGTGCTCAGAGAAATTTCCAGACACCTTCTGCTGACCCAGCAGAAAACAGCAGCAGATTTCTAATGTTAAACCAAGCAGGCAGTGCTCATGGAGTTAAAACCTCTCTTTTAGAGACAGGCTCAAACATATTACTAAAGCCAGCAGCTCTGCCAGCTGAAAGACACTCTTTTTAACAGTCTGCAAGGACACTGGCTCAGGGCTGTAAGATGCCTGCATTACAGCATCTTACCAATGTGATTTGGTCAGTATCAAAGGAGGATTCAATCCTAGTGTTTCTTTGTCATACTTCTGCTTTGATTTGCTAAACAACCTCTCTTCAGTTCTTACAAGGAATAGCAGTAAAGGAAGATGTTAAACAAGATTCCAGTTTTGTTTAGGAATAAGGCACTGTGAATGTATGCACATACATGAAGTAAACAGACCACTCTTTGTCAACAGCATTTGTTTAAGCTTAACATATAACTAAGGTACAACAAAGCAAAACAAAAAAGAAATCTTGTCAGATTTTGAAACAAAACCCAACCTCAAAAATGATATTAGGCTTTCACAATGGTTCCAATTAATGTGTTCCACTTTGCAGCAGGCTAGGGACATGCAAAAGCTACCACAGATAAGAGTGTTTGGTAGCTTGATAGTTTTTCTCTATGTGGATATATCCTAATGCAGTTTAAATTTGTCTTTTTAATTAACCCACATTAATTTGCTTGAATGTATTAGGATAGACTTTTGGGAATGAGATGTAGGCTACCAGAATCATTTGGGCTTTGCAAAAAATATTACTCCTGATGTATTTCAAAATACTAGCAGATTTTTCTTGCCGTGCTTTCAGCTAAATCACTATTTTCTTTCTGTTTAGTCTGTTATTCATATATTATGTTCATATATGTTCTACTGACAAAAACTTGATCTCAGTCCTCTCTCCACACCTCTGTTAATCTGATTTACAACCCTGGCAAAAGCAATCTTCTTCAGATTGGTGTCATTAAAATGAAGAGACAATGAGACTGGCACAAACTGCTTGATTATTTCTGAACATGTTTCCCAGGGCCTCAACTCTACTTTACACTGGTTAAAGGATTACAGACTCTGCTGCATTTCAAAATTGTGTATTTTGTACGCAGTTGCTTCTAAGAGTCTTCTGTTCCCTGTGTACCTTAATGGCTACCTGAGATACAAATGTTTCCTGCTCCTCAGCCATCCTCAGAAGCCTGTTTCTTACACTGTCTTCTGCATCCCTGTGCCACATTTGTCACATTGAAAATATGCTCTGTCTCACAGCCATATCCCCATTCTTGCATCTGGAGAGATGTTAGTGATGGACAAAGTAAATCAAAAGATGCTCTTGTGCAGGAGGTCATTCAAGGCTAGTGTTAACTGATATTTTTTATCTAAAAATAGGCAGAAGTGGTTAACGGCATTGTATTTTAAAACAAATACCTAAAATTCGTCATATATTCTTCTTCCCTCCTTCCATTTTCACAGTTTTTATCCAACTAATGAGGTTCTGACACATGATCTAGATCCGTCCTTAGGTGGACAGATCCCGCCCTTGGGGTTTGCATACACAGCATTCACAAGTTACTACATACAGAAAAGGAAATGAGAAATGTAATGGAAAAATGATTGACATTCTGTCATCTAGTTTTGTATAGTATTTTTGCATGGGTTGAAATTGAGTACCACAGTGACACACACAGCATTCTCATCTGCCATTGCATGACATGTAGCATTAGCCTAAAATATCTTGGTGACATTATCAACAAAAAGGTCAAATGACCCAGTCTAGCTGTGTGATACATAGGTAAAACACAGCAAGGTGAAAGATTTACTTTCCATTTTCTATTAAAAGCATTTTTTCCTCTGCCACAGTTTATTTTATTAAAGCATTTACTTCCAGGCAGTGGTACATTACTGAGATCTTTCTTCTTCCTTGACAAACTGGACTATTGAGACTAAAATTAAAAAGTAAATGCTTTAAATATTTTAAAAACCTTTAAAAGGTATAAAGGTACCTTTATATGTTACATAGAGCAAGAACATCTGGTCCTATAAGACTTCCTAGAGAAAATACACAGGTAAATAGATAGGGTAAATAACAAAGGGATCTTTTTATGGTGACTGGGAGCAGAGGAATTGCTCAACACCTACTGGGACATCCACCCAGCTGCACTGGGGCATTGAGTAGGCAAACTGAATTGGCTTTAAGAAGGCTGTGATGCAAGACACTGATCATGTTTATTTAACACAGATTTCTACTCTGTAACACAGCTCCATAGCAAGGGCTGAACTCTATGGCACACCTGATAATGGAATATGGACCATGAACTACTGCTCCAGCCCTGAATAAAGAGAAAAAAATTCCAGGAATCCTGCAAACAGACAGAGCTGTGCAAAGCTAATGAAAGGAGCAGGGAGGATTTGTATAGTTCCTGTGTTACCAACATTTGGCAGGAATAAATGTGCATGAATGCAGAAGCTCTGGCAAGATCCCATAGCCAATGAAAGGAGTTTATTTGGCAATCTCCAGAGAGGAACAGGCAAGATTGCTTTAAGTACTTGACATTTATAAGGCAGAAAAAGCAATTGGTGCCTGCTGGGAACATAAACTCCTATGAAAAGCAAACCATGCTGACATATTGGTGATACACATACTGCCGTACTGTCTGCCCTAAACGTGGAGTAATTAAGCACTTTTCATCATGGATTACTATGTCCTTGGTGCAACTGTCGCTAGTAACTTGCCCTAAGACTCTGCCACTCTTACATCAGAGCACATGGGGCCTCATCCAAAGCTAAATTGAAGAAATCAAAGTGAGCACTATTTCTCTCCCTGCCAGATGGAAGTTCCCTTTAGCAGCCATGTCAAAATGCACCACAAAGCTTTGTGAGTGCTTCTATTACAGACACACACAAATGCGAGCAACTGCCAGGTCTCTGAGGAGCTTGAGCGGAGTGGAGGTGACCAGAGGAAGACAGCTCAGCAGCTGCTACATATGCCCCTGCCCTCACAGGGGCTGCCAGAGCTTGGGGTGTCATGCTAGTGGTTCTTTTTTTGCATAAGAACTTCCCAAACAACTACAGCTGATAAACTGAAGGCACAATGATCATTGCAAACAAAATTGAACTTCATGGAGTTTACGCTGCTTGGGCAGGAACTCTCCATGTTTAATAGCATCTTACTACCAAGCAATTACCTAGCTCTAATAAACTGCAAGTGAAACAAAACATGAAGGCTGCAATAACTTCAATTCTCATCTAGAAGCAAGAAGCACAGTGCTTAAAATAGCCTTATGAAAGCCCTACTGAGTAAGCAGAAGATGACATTTTTGAAATGAGATATTTGTAGCACAAAGGTTATGCATAGCTTTCAGACATGCCCAGATAATCTGCCTTTCGTAGTTAATTTTGGAAATACAGAATGCTTCTGGTCATTTTATCCTTTTGAAGTATTTTCTTGCTCTTTGAGGAGAGACTGAAATATGGAAATGTGTTATCAGATTGGTTTTTATTATTTGCTCACTCTATAAGGAACGAGTGAAAACGTCTAAAACCTAAAATTAATTTCATCATTTTCTATTGTCCTCTGGGTGTTTACCAGCATTTGCAGCTCAGAGACCAAGCCTATTTCTTGTGCTGTTCACTGTAACAAACTGAATAAAAGCACACATAAGAGGAAAATTCCTCCCTTTCAATTTCTACAAGAGGCTATAGCACACCATTTCTTTCTAAATGATGAACTGATTTGGAGCCTAAAAATGTTTGAAATTCTACTTTAAATGCAGAAGGAATTAATCTTGCTGTATTTTGAGGGATACCTCTATCAAAAAGAGCCTCCAGGAGTGAAAGGAAATAGAATTTCTTTAATTAAACCCTGAACATGCTGGATACTGAATCAGATACGCACAGATTCTGATTTACATCACATAATTCAACAGAGAAAATCCAGCTGTAGGGTAGCACA